ACTGGTGATTTGCTCCCGGGCCTCATGCACACAGGGCGAGTTCTGTACCAACAAGCCACATGCCAGCTATGTCTCTTTATAAGGCCACTAATTCCATTCATGAAGACGCTGCCCTTGTGTCCTAAATGCCTTGCACAGGACCCACTTCCTGATGCCATCACCTTGGAAGTTAGGATTTCAGTGTATGAATTCAGGGGTGTATACACATTTAGTCCATAGCAGCAGCAAAGGGATATGTCATGTTTGCAACTCAGATAGATAAATGACAGATAGACAGATAGAGCCAAATAGACAAACAGACAGGATAGCAAAATGTAGTATCTGAGGAATTTGGTTGAAGGATGTATGGAACACATTGTACAATTCTTTCAGCTTCTCTTTAAGTCTGAAATTATGTCAGGGTGAAAAGTTAAAAGAAAAACCTTGGGCTGGAGGTACATGGTCGCACCCAAAGCAAGTGCCCTGAGAGAGGACATACTCCAAGCCTCCATGGCCTTGAGGGGAACAAGCCACTCTGCCTCAGAAGCCCACATTGGTCAACCGTGGACTCATTCTTATATCCTGGTGCAATTTCAACCCATCTGCATCATTCTAGCTACAGTCAGGTCAAGCCAGTAAGGTGTAAAATGATAGTTTCTCTTATCTTCTGGCAGGACATACTTCTATCTCTCCATGTGGCAGACCACAGCTGTAATTCTGCCTTGATTTGTGTCCCTGCCTGCCACTCTCACTGTACCAGAAGCTTCAGGAAGGCAAGAATTATATCTGCTTTGCTGAACATTGTACCCTTAGTGAGGGACCCAGTGCAAAATGAAAACACGTGATTCCTGGTTCAAAAATGATTGAGAGTTTCAAGACAGCAACTGCAGAGCACTGAACCAAATGCAAAGGCCTCCTGAGCACTGGCTCAATGACACTGCAGCCCAGAGAAGTTGTTTGTGGCCAGCAGTACCTGGTGCAGAGAAGGGGCTCCATAAATGTGTGCTGCATGAATGAATGAATAAACAAAGCTCCTTGGACGCATTCCCAGGCTTTATATAAAGTGAGGTCTCTTGCAGCCATAATTTTTCTATAATTGATGTGCACCTTCATGAAGCAATGCTGAATGAACCTGAGCTGCAGAGGTGCCAATGCCAGGCAGCAGAGCCTCTGCCGAGCCTTCAACAATGGTACATACCCACCTCCCCACAGTCACACTTGGGACAGGCTAACCTGGGCTCCTGGCATCCTGAATCTCCTGAATGCAGTACGCAGCTCCTGCCAGCCAGCTTTCCCTGCCCCTCCTGTGCATGGCCTTTCAGGCTCAGTTCTAGTACTGAATGTTCTATGCAAGGAATGTGAGCCCCTCCAGAGCCCACAGTATTAACGATCGCCAGCTGTGCCAAGCTGGGCTCTGAGGTGAGCCACCAAACCCCTTTTCACTTGTGACCTACACTGCCATTGGTTCCATGGACTGCTCGTTCTGCAACACAAGGGGGACCGTGTTACTATGACAACAGCTCCTGGAGCTGCAGGGATGCAAAGCACCTACTTTAAAAAGTTCACTTACCCATATGGCCAATGGGCTTCATTTGCTGTTTCTAAATTTAAGGTCCAAGCAAGGTGAGTTGCAAAGGAGAAATGTCGAAATGTTTTTCAAGGGCTAATTCAGACTGTGGCACTAAAGCTACTCACCAAAGATACTAGAGAATGAAATAGGGCACCAGAGGTTTTTGTTCTTAAAGACAAATATTATTTCCAATTAGTAGTGTGTGTGCTGGCTAACGTGAACTTGCCTGTATGAGAAGGGAAACAGTCATCCGCTGCCAAAGGCTGATTCTCTTTATAAAAATCCCAGTGTTGATGGCTTGCTAAACATTCTCCTTGAAGTTGTCTGGGACTTCTAGCTTTCTCCATTCTATCATCCAGCAAATGCTGTGTGTGTGGCAGAAAGAGAATGAGATACTTACATCTAAATTCCTTTTTTTCTATCAGATAATCTATTTCTTCTCCAAGTGCCAGTTTCTCCACTGGAGATACTTCTTTATTCATTCATCAAAACAGTCACAAATTTCCCTTGAGCAAATATATATGCCTATAGGAATATTACCTCGCTTAGGAGTTTGTTTGGTCTGAAATCAAGGATAGGTTGAAATCAGTGTAAAACTCATGATCATTAATGATCTTTACTTTTTTCTCCGACCAATTTCCTACCCCGAGTTAGGAAGAGCTGCCTGTGATTCCCATAGCATGTTTCCAACCCTAGCCCAGTTATATTATTGACTCTGTGTCTGTGTCTCTCACTTAGCCTCTGAGTAGTTTCCTCAAAGGCAAAGATCAGCTTCAAACCCATGCACCCTCCCCAGGACCTGGCACCAAACAAGGCAGATTGTAAACCAGATTCTGAAGAACTCAAGGAGATTTAAAGCCACGGTTCATAAATGGTTTGTACTTCTTATCATGTTCTTCATTCATTCAATGAACCTAAATTATAATCATTGTCCAATGGCAGCTCCAAAATTGCCACATGGAGGTGCTTAAGAGGGTCACCTAGTGAGGCACGATGACACACATTTCTAATTCCAGCTATTCGAGAGGCTGAGATGGGAGGAGCATGAGTTCGAGGCCAGCCTGGGCAGCCTAGCCAGACCCTGTCTCAAAATAACTTTTTAGAAATTGGCTGGGATGTGTGGTAGAGCCCTTGCCTAGTATGTGTAAGGCCTTGCATTCAAGTCCTCATGCCACAAAAAACAGAAAACAAAACAACTTTTTTTTCTTTAAAGAGGATGGGGCTAAAGCACATGTGTTAGCAGCACTGTGTGATAGGGCTAAAGCACATGTGTTAGCAGCACTGTGTGATGGGGCTAAAGCACATGTGTTAGCAGCACTGTGTCGTTCAGTTGTATAGTTTATCTTGGCATGTCTAGTAGGGGAGACTGAGGCTGTATTTGTACAGTAAGCAGTCTAGGGGCTTTTTTGTTTTGCTCTGAGGGGAATATTTGCATATTGAGTGACTCGAGCTCAGTGTAGGACGTTCTGCAGCACTTATTCTGAACCCCTGTTAAAGTCCCCAGACTTCAGCATCTTCCAGCCCAGTGCGTTATCTCATTCTGTGCACCCCAAAAGCCCACCGTGGCTTTCCTTACTACTTCTCTCAAAAAGACGTCCCTTTCCTCTCTTAGCAGAAAGGGGGAGCTCTACAGAGAAAAGGGATAAAATCAACACAAAACGAGGCATCGGAAGAGCTCAGGGATGTGAACCTGGGCCCTATCACCCTTCCTTCACTTCAGAGTCTCTCCAGAGGGGCTTAGGGAAAGGTGGAGCATCGCTCCGGCGATCCCTCCTGGACGTGATTATGTTCTGGTTCCTGCCCACTGGAACGTGGATCACATCTTACCCACAGTTGCATTCAAAACTTGATTAGATCCTATCGCTTCTGTCACAAAAATAACGAAGTCATCCTGCTTTTCCCCTGTAGTCTCTCACTTGCTTAATGTAAAAATCCCACCTGTGCCTCGTAGGCTTAGACCTACATTTCTGCACTCCGCCCCCATCCCAGATCTTTCTCTTTTCCTTCTCCCAGCTGATATCTCTTCGGCCCTGGGCACGGCCTTTAGTTTTTATAGCTGTTATTTGCTGGTCTCTCTGTTAGGGCTATTTGCTTCCCCAGACACCAGAGGGGAAAGGAGAAGTACGTCTCCAATTCCCGGATACTGTCATTGACCGAACAGTTTTTCAGGGAATTCACTTATATGTATTGCTCCCAGTGTTTGTTCTTCCACTAC